AATGAGGGGGGAGGGAAATTGAGAGGTCTCTGGGGTAAGGTGTGCGGCTTCTAGTTCGTACGGACCGGGGTGTCCGACGTGTGTATCTCAAAGAACAAAAAAGGACAGGGGAAGCGCCACAAGCGAAAACCAAAGAGTGGAAGGATGAATTCAAAATCTCCATTAATGTTAATTTGAATTCATCCTTCCACCCTTTGGTTTTCGGCTGTGGCGCTTCCCCTGTCCTTTTTTGTTCATTCAGGAGGCCATGCTGCTGCCGCCTGAATCCTGTTTTTTTTATAATCCCAATGGGAATTTCCCATTACAAATGCATACCCACATGGCTGCAGCACAGTCCCATTCATAGAAATGATCGCGTTTGACAAGCAGTACCACCTGACAAACGCGACATGCTGTATATTTTTGCTGCACTACGACGCAGAGCATAGCATCAATGTATAATCGCTGTTCGCCTGCAGTGCTGACATTGCAGCAGGTGAACTGGGGCGGTAATACTACAAATCATCCAACTGGTTGTAGATCGCTGTTGATTTGCGGTCTGTGAGAACGAAGTCTTAATGAATTATTTTATTTAGGAAGTTGAAAATCCAATAGCATTCTCCCATTTCTGACCTGCACTGGTTGTGCCTGCAAAACTCCCACATCTGATTTCACAAATGCTCCTAGTACATAGTCAAAGGTTGAAAAAAGAAATGACAAAGGTAAACCAAAAGGCAAGAATAAATACATTAAAAACCTGCATGCTTAGAAACCTAAACCCAACGTTGATCCAGAGGAAGGAAAGCAACCATATGAATCATGGTCCAATTTGCTGTGGTTCTTCCGATCCCTGAAGACAACTGGAAACTACCTGGAATAACAAGCCACAGTGTTATTTCCTATAAATATTATTAGACAGTTATATTTTGTGCATAAGGAAACACATCCAACCCTATCATGAAGATAGCTAGAAGTAGTTCCTGAGGAAGTCTATTCAAAATTGTTGTGGCCCTTCTGTAAAGAAGACCCAGCAAAGCTTAAAAAAAACATTTGAAACCAAGAGTGACTGATCAAGGAAGTAAGCTCACTGACAGCCCCAGAAATAGTACCCCCTCCACACACACATACACACACCATGAGAACAAATTGGTTGTCTGTTTTGCCTTCTTTTGTAGGATTTATAAGAATAGGATGACTGTCCTTGGATTTTCCACCTGTTACAAGGTGTCACACTAATGGTGTTTTACTGTTGTGTAGTTTCTTTTATATTGAAATGTTTGCATAAAGTTGCCATCATCTAAGCAGATGTGTACAGTAATGACAGTGTGAGTACAAAGCAGACTCACTGAGCTTTTGAGATGCTGCCTGCAATTTCAGACCACAGATTGGTTTTGAATGGTCGCCTGCAGAATAGCATTTGTCATAATACTACGATTGCAGGGAAACTTAGAGACAGTTTTACAACTCGGAATGAAATGTATATGTGATAAAGTTCATTTATAATTAACAAAGCGATATATTAGGGTATATGGGACTGGTTTTAGAGGTTTATGCAGAATAATATTTGGTGTGGAGCAGGGTGATATGATGAAGTGCAATGTGCATTAAGAATGGTAAGATGTAGGAGTAAAGTCTGATGGGCCTCTTGCTTCTCTGTCTGCCAGCACATCCATAAACAAGCATAACAAAATTATTCTATTCATCTTCCTAGAGTGTCTGGCAATGCTTGCTGCTGCCCAGAGACATGATAATGTGACCCAACACAGCACAGGGGTTTGCATCTAGGGGTACCTTAAAATAAGCATGTGGACAGATTATGGACATGCAAGTATTTACATATTTCTATCAATCAGTAAAAGAGCTTTAACCTGCCTCAGGGTATTATACTCTGTTTCTGTGCACTAAATGTCCTTTTAGTGTATTTTATCCTAAAAATACTGGTTTGATAAACATTTGCGCAAATACCGTGCAACATAATAAATTGCAGCTAGCATTTTTGTATTGTACAGGGCCTCTACTTTCAGAAAATATATAATTGTTTGGTGGTTTCAAGCTGTTTTCTAGCCAAAAATTCAGATTTATTTGTGTGTGCAAATATTAGGAAACTGCCCCGGACGGCAAGTGGTTAGAGAAGCTGCCACTGACCTCTGTAGATGCAGGCACTGTGGATCAGTTCATCCCCATAATTCACAGCATAAGAGCTTCGAAACTCAGCTCTTCCTGCTTCCCTCTTAGCAGTTTTTCGGTCTTCTAATCTGTAAACACCGAACAAGAGCTCTGGAAGGGGGAGCAGGAGAAGCTGAGCTGTTAAGAGAATGATTTGAAGGACTTGAGTGCTGCTGCTTCTGCTGTCACCTTTGAGGATGAATTGCTCCACAGTGCCTAAAGCTACACAGGTTGGTGAGGACTTGTTTTCAAGCTCATGTACTGCTTGGTAACAATGTGTAAATACTTAAATGTCCATTGCCTGGCTACAGGTTCACTTTACTGCAACCGCAGATATCACCATTTATCCGTTTACAGAAGTCAGTGGAATATGATAGCTCGTTGGTCGCTGTACTTTGCGCATTGTTTTATATCTTTTAAATTAAACCTCTATTTGTATCTTGTAAAGGCTCTTTAAAGAATGCATTCGGTAGAAAACTCAGCAGATAAAACAAGTAAAGCGCTGCCTGTTGTCACCTCTTATACGTCTATGATGCATTGCAGCACAGCAGAGCAAGTCATTGTGATTAATTACAAAACATATTGCAGACAGTAGCAGATTAAGAGAGGTGGAACATCATGATTAACTGTTTAATTATTGATTTCTATTCAGGTCCTAAAACTGGTCCAAATCCAACTCCACCACAGCCCACCAAGAAACCGAAAACAACTCCATCACCTACCACCACTGCTACGGCAACTACTACTGAAAGTGTGGAGCCTTCTGATTCCCCAGTAGACCCAACACAAGACCCCTGTCAAGTGAAGGAATTTGATGCCATTGCGGAATTACAAGGCGTGCTCCACCTATTTAAGGATGGGTAAGAGTAGCATACAATAATGTGGATTCTACAAAAGTCAGAAGGGGACCTTATAAATTGCAGATTCCATAGTTTTTTACTTATCAATTCCTATTTTTGTTTTTTAGATTGTACTGGACGCTACCTGCCAGTGGGCCCCCTAAATCTCCTAAGAAGATCTCAGACACTTGGCCTGAACTTCCTGCCAACATTGACTCAGCATTCCAGGATCCCCAAAGCAAGAAGATGTTCTTTTTCTCAGGTAATAATTGATATACATAACTCAATGGCATATTTCAAATGTTTGTAAATTAGACAGCCCAGCATTGGTCATTAAACAATGCATTATTGTTTTCTACCAGCATGACAGAATGTGGCTATACATGGACAGACCAAGCCATCCAAATTTTTTTCTTGGGGCAAATCGCCAACATATTTAGCCATTACCAGTGACAGTCAAATCTGACATGATATAGGCTGCTTAGGAAGTTGTCAACCACCTATTGTAGAGGACAAAACATCAGTCATCAGAGTGCCTTATGTAAGAGCAAAGCATCCCACCTTCAAAACCTGGAGAGCAGGAAAGTCAATATTAGCCCCAACACATCTGAGTCTTCTCTGCAGAGAGGTGGGAAGTATATGTAGTCATGGGCTGCTCAAGCTTGCTCTAGAAGTAAAGTATAGCATGAAAATCCTGTAGGTGGTATTTCACCAAATTACAATGCCTGATGTGGGTTTAATCATTTCTTCCTCAGTATATAATTTAACATTTCTAAAGCCACTGTTGTCAGAATGAAGCTCCTACCCTCTAACACCAGAAACTCTGCCCAGTTCGGCACTGTTTAATGAAAACAATACCCATCATCATCATAAGACAGGCCCTACAAAATCATGACTGCACTGCCAGTAGGTGGACATGGGAAGTATACCTGAGTTTACAATACACATTTTAAAATATTCAGTCATATTATTTGATTACTAGCTACATAATGTTAAAAAACAACATTATAAGGATTTTTAGTAAGGTAGAAATCTGTGAGTATAGAAAAGCAACCTGTAACAACCCAACAAAGGGACATCTTTGATCATTCAGACACTGCTGAAAAGGCAATTTCTTCAGTGTGTCTCTTCCCTTTAATTCATCACTGCACTTTCTTATTGCATGTTGCTGTCATCTGATATCTGTTATGTGGTATAAGTAAGTGTGGCTCTTTCCACAGGACGCAAATTCTGGCAGTACACAGGAAGCAGTGTTTTGGGACCACGAAGTCTTGATAAGCTGGGCTTTGGCAAGGATGTGGATAAAATCTTGGGAGCTATTACAAGGGATAATGGGAAAGTCCTGTTATTCAACGGTGAAAGATATTGGAGGTAAGTCTGCAAGAAAACTTGTGACTTAAAAGTTTACTTTCACTTTTTCAGTCAGATTTGAGAAACTCCCACTATATGTCTGTTATGTGTTGCCATTCCCATTCCCATACCCAAACATTATTTTTTTAATGCATTAACATTTTTTTGCATTAACATACAATGTACCAAGTAGTAAAGTATTATTAAACTCCCAAGCGCTTACATTCATAGAGGCAATTTATCAAAACTGGAGCAGACAAAAACTGGAGCAGCTGTGCATGGCAACCAATCAGCTTCTCTCTTTAGTTTGTTCAATTAAGATTTGAAAATGAAAAAGAGAAGTTGATTGGTTGCCATGCACAGCTGCTCCAGTTTTTGTCTGCTCCAGTTTTGATAAATTCCCCTTATCATGTTTCCAAACAGCTGTTGCCAACTCTCTCAGCTACACTTTCTTGAACTTCCTGTCCAGTATAAGATCACAAGGGACATAGCAGTCTCTAGCAGCTCTCCATCTACTAGCTTGGAGAAGGGAGGAAGGAGTCAGGGAGAGCAAAAGGAGAAGGGGACTGACTTGCCTTGCTCTGCCTCTGTGTTTGTGGAGACAGACACAGCTAACTAGCACACAAAAGGGTGGGTCTATAGGACCCTGCAAGGGAACGGAGCCACCCTAAAACAGGATATCAGGGCCAGTGCTCAGGGGACCAGCTGATTCTGCAGGGATCTAAAACTTTTAAACCTTAGTATCACTAAGTTAACAGTTTAGTGTCACTTTAAGTTAACACTGTCTTGAATGACTGAGGTTACCAAGGATGGCAGGATGTGCTGATCATGTCCTGCGGTTGTAGCCTCAGACCCCATTCACACTGAGCGTTTTGTAGCGCGATTTCCACTCAAAAATCACTCAAATATGAAGCTCAGTGTAGCTCTTCCTGTAGCATTTCAATGTTGCCTGTAGCTTGTAGCTGAAGCTTATCGCTCGAACATGACCTATTTTTTGGTGGATTTCGAGCGATTTGGCCCCAATAGGCTTTGATAGACTGCCAAAAGAAGCTCTACGTAGCACGGCAAAATGTGCACTGTAGATTAATGTTGCCCAAAGTCGCTCAGCTCAAATCAGCGCTTATTTTGTTGTAGCTCAGTGTGAATGGGGGTCTAAAAGATGGGAACATTTTTAGTGATATCATTGTCATTTATTGCAAAAATGCATTGTTTATATGCAGGTTGTACTTACCCCCAAGTCCAGAAAAGCTATATAAGTGTGACTCTGTATGCCTAATACATCCTCCATGTTTTCTATTAACAGGCTTGATGTGAAGGCTCAGGCTGTGGATAAGGGTTACCCACGCAACACCGGTGAAGATTATGCAGGTGTTCCCAGTGATTCTCATGACATCTTTGTCTACAAAGGTAACAATCAGTATGAGCACATTCTAACAACAAATGTATAGTGTATGGGTGACTCAGTACTGAAGAAAGTGAGGGTGCTGGCCCTGGCAGCCAATCAGGATCCATCTGTCATACTTTCTAAGCTAGCAGTTGGTTCCTCTGGGCAGCACTGCTATGTTTCCATCACTCTGGAACATCTACATTCCGAAAAAACTGTTATAGAGCTCATGCAGGTCTATGGACTCCTACCCAGCACCATGTGACAGTGCCGGGCCTATCAGGAGGAACCTATCGCTTTCACAATGGACAAGAGGGAGCTTTGGTTTTCATATCACAAACACACGGCCCCTTCTAAATGTCACACATTGTACTTTTCTGGCGTTTCTACAGTCGGCGGGTCTGAGATGTTCAAAATATTGGTGTTTACTACCCGCAGAGGGAGCTAGACCACAACCAGATCAGAAAGGGTATGAACCTCCCAGTTCAGTTCTATGTTGCAGGAATTTGTAAGTAACATTGCAGACTCTTACCTGCCTCTGTTCTGTAGTCATCGAGAGAGGCCATATCATAAACTGAGAGAAGACAGAGTACTCAGGTAGGAGGCTCTGCCTGTTATAATGAATTGCATGACCTGTTGAAATAAGAGAAAAACTTTTAGCCAGTCACACGAGCGGGAAATGTAATTTCTGGGGGCATTGTGTACATAATACATTGTGTACAGCTTACAGTGTTACCAGGAGAAGGGAGGAGGAAGAAGGAAGGGTGGGCCTAGGAGAAGATCAGGCTCTGCTGTATGAGATGACAAGGAATAGGCTGATAGGACAATTAATCAGATAAATGACCTTATAAGTCTGTTGCTGACCCCTCATTGTCCAATCACAGGCTAGGAGCAGGGAAGTGACCTAGTTGTGTTGCTTAACTGCAGTATAAAAAGTCAAGTCACCAGGCTGTGGGAAAAAAAAACCTGTAAAGCTGTATTACTCACCTGATCCTCAATCCCACATTGGTCAGTGCTCACCTCTCTCCCCCTCTGCTCCAGCTTTGTAATGTCCTTCGACATCCTCATGTCTAATGCAGGTCAATGGACCTGCATATGAAGTGATGATGTCAGTGATACTTAGACTTCATGAGCCCAGGGGAGAAGATGCTGTGGGGACTGGTCTAGCAGCCCAGAGGGAGCCGGTGGAAAAGAGGATCAGATGAGTATTACAGGTTTATTTGAGCCCCCATAGACAAAATGAGCACAAAGTTATACTCCCCTGATTCTCCGAGCCGGCTTGCTCTTAGACCGGTCCCTGGAGTGTCTCCCCCCCTCGGATGCAGCAGTCTAAGGTCCCTGGCTCATCACGTTCTATACACTGTGTATAGGAAATGAGGATGCCGAGGGACATTCCATTGCTGCAGCAATTACCAGGACTTCTTCAAACCTTGCAGTGTGTTGGTAGCCCCACTGCAAGGGCTTTTTTTAATGTGTTTGTCCAGAATTTTTCTTCAATGGACAGAAATGTTACTCCTTTGGGATAAAACAACACCAATGTACTGCATGTATTTAGCTGTTTGCCTGGAGAATAGCTCTAAAGTATAACGTGTCCTGAACTAAAAGGAGTTAATGCTTATTTCAAAGGTATCTTTTGCTCAAGGAACCATCATTTGCAAACTAACATTCTATCTTCTTGCAGGTAAATACTACTTCTGCCAGGATAAGTTCTTCTGGCGCATGACATGGCGCAAGCAAGTGGAAAAGGTCGGATACGTGAAATACGACATCGTCCGCTGCCCAGAGAACAATTAAAGCAGCAGCGAAAATGTGAAGATGAGAAATGAGGAAACGACAGGCACCAGCTTGGATTGGAAGACTTCAGATGTGAACCTTTTGATCCTGCCCCTTCTTCATTTCAGCCCCTTTACTTCTGTGGTTGTAAAAGGAAATTGTTACTGTTCAGGCACTGTAGACATGGTCTCCATGTTGCATCCCCCTTAGGGAAGTGAATGTGTGTGTGAGTTCCCAGGCCTGCCTGGCGCAGGTTTCCAGAGAGCAGTGTGACAGATGATGACTTGTGGCGCTAGCAAAATGCGACAAGGTGACCTTTCAGAGATTTCTTTAATATATTATTTGCTTTTTCTAATAAATACTGTTCTTCCTTGACCTTCATGGTTTCTGTTTTTTATGCTATCCGTAACGACAGATGATTTTATTGGGCAGAAGACTTTTGGGGAGATCTGCTGTGTTCCGCTGCGTGCTCTCACATGCATTAATGTGAAATTAGCACATATGTCAAAATGACATGATAAGGAGGCCGGTGTCAGCGTCTGACCTGAAAGCCTTGCTCATTGACGGAAGAGTCGTATACCGAGGTGTAATTAGAAATCACAGGGCCTCCATGCAAAATGTTTATGGGGCGCCTTGTATTAATTAACTGCACCTGGCCTTTAATATTTTTTTAAACTCCTGATGTCTCCTTTTAAAAGGTTTCTTTTGTTTAGTATTGAGAGCTTCTGGGTAGGATTAACTTCTGGTACATAGAAAACTAAGTGGGGTAAGTTAAAGGGGTAATATACAGTATGTGGCAGGTATATGTATAGTTAAACCAGTGCAGTTTAATAATGAGAGAAGAAAAAAGAGGTTTTTATTAACATTTTGTTATGTCTTATTACATGATATGATATCATTATCAATATTATGTTACATGATATGAATTTTGAGAATATTTATACAGACATCCCAACCTGCAAAACCTTATTTCAGGGAGGTGCCTGTCTCATTTCAGGGAGGTGCCCTTTCTGGTTTTTTTTTTTACAGCGGCCACCGTCAGAATATAAAAGAAATAATAATGATTTTTTTCACAGCACACCTCTATTTACTTCACTTTTCACTTCATAACACTCCCAATATTTACCTCACAGCACACTCCTGAGGAGACAACTGAGGAGGAAATAAGGACAGAGGGATTTGGTTCCAAATGAGGGACAGTTGTAAGTTATGCAGATATACCTCACTCCCCCCTCATAGCACACCCCATATTTTCCTCACTTCCCCCTCATAGCACACCCCATATTTTCCTCACTCCCCCCTCATAGCACACCCCATATTTACCTCCCTCCTCCCTCATAGCACACCCCATATTTACCTCACTTCCACCTCATAGCACACCCCATATTTACCTCACTTCCCTCTCATAGCACACCCCATATCTACCTCACTTCCCCCTCATAGCACACCCGATATTTACCTCACTTCCCCCTCATAGCACACCCCATATTCACCTCACCCCCCCTTCACAGCACAGTTGCCATTCATTTGAACGGCACCCCAACGCACCCCCGACGGTCATGTGTTGCAGAAACGTGCAGTACTGTAATACCATGCTGTGCGGTGAAAAACAGAACCACATGCTACACTGCAACGTATGGTTGCTGGGAGGTGAGTTATGGTGTCATTCAAATGAATGTCAAGGCAATGCACCTAACACATGGTAATGCATACTAGGTGCCCTGTGGGATAACGTGTGTTAAACGCACAGTTTCATGCAATAAATGCAATGATATGGTGTGAACGGGCCCTTAAAGAACTGGACAGCAATTGTCAAAACTGGACTGACAGATTCACAACTGGACATGTGGCAAGTCTACTCCCGGGGCACACTCCTGAGTTAATAGTGTACCTGCCCACCAATTTTATACCCAACACTAAAGCATAGACATGTGCGATTAGTTTTGTTACGATTCAAAAGTCCTAGAAATTCTCTGAAATTCTGACATTCGGACACATCTGAATTTCTGAATCCCAATGCATCCGAATGTGTCCGAATCCGAATTTCCATTTCCGAAATTTCAGATCCCGTCCAAATTTAGTTTAAAACCAAAATTGATTCGGACATGTGACTTTTCTAGCCAATCAGATGTGTTTTTCGGTTTATTGCATCCGAATGGGTCTGAATACGAATTCTGGGAGCCTCAGCTTTAGTTTTATGTATATATAGCTCCCAATGTTGCCACAACAAATATTTGTTCGTACAGAATACTAATTATATACACATAATACTAAAGCTGATGCTCCAAGACCCGAATGGAGTCCGAATTTCCGAATAGCATTTGGGAGCTTCTTAATGCCATTCAGGTCTGGAAGCCTCAGCTTTAACATTATGTATGTATATGGCTCCCAGACCCGGACTCCTGAATGCCATTCGAGTCTAGGAGATTCAGCTTTAGTATTAATATCTGTATATGTTTTTCTGTGGTAGTCAGAACGAAAATCCGTAAACTCATCCGAAACGCACAAAAATTCGGATTTCGTCCGAATCCGAAACCCCGAAACGAATGGAATTTCGGAACCAAATCTCAAAATAACAAAAAATCCAAACCGAACCGAATTTTTTCGCAGCTTACATGACTACTAAAGCATACACTTAACCCTCCCCTACCTGGACACTTGAAGAGGACCTGTTCGGTGGAAGCTATGCCTAAAGGTGGCCACACAACTGCCGATTATCGTACTATAATCGCGGGAAATCCAGCGATCGTACGATAATTGGCAGGTGTATGGAAGGCGTGCGACTGTTTCTACTGTACGGTCGCACGTCTTTTTTCTTACAAGCACGTTGGAAAACCAGCCGAAAATCATACGATTTTCGGCGGGTCTGTGGCGTGCTCGTAAGACAAATGCTGCACGGGCCGGTGTGCGCAAGCACTCACTGCCCGCTCAGCATTGGAATCATCGGAAGTCCTCCCCTCAGCGGCCACCCTACGCCCACCTGCCCTGCACGCCCGTGCGGGTGTTCGTACTCGGACGCTGACAGGATGGATCCTGCCTGCGTCCGAGCAGGGACACCCGCACCCGTACGGACCTGCACTTAAGGTGAGAGTAGGGGGGCGTACGGCGGCGTATTCCCATAGAGAAGGACAGGGGCTGCGTACTAATCACATGCAGCACCTGTCCTTCCCGGAAGCTGCTGGATACGGCCGTGCACGCAGCACCGAGCTGTACGTTCCGGACATTTCTAGTGTGAATGAGGCCTAAGGCTAACAAAGTTACTTCTACCTGCTTGCATTTCAGCAGGAGCTTTTCACGGTGTCATTCTGCAGATGTTCCACAAATATACAGCTCTATGCCTCAGCAGAGGGACACACCACCTCCTTCTCACCTAGCAGGGATGGGAAGCTCTTTACACACAGGCTGCCAACAAGCATGCAGACAGCTGCCATCGAAATGTTAGACAAGTAACAAAAAATATATGGCACACAAGTTTATCAACTTGCAAATGTCAAAGCAATAATAATGTTAGCTTGACTTTAACTCCTTATAGTTTCTTTTTAAACAGGGACATAGAGGAATTTCATACAGCTTTTGCCTCCCACCATCAGTACGGCGCAGTGTTGCCAGGTTCTGCTATGTAGGTTCTGTGGTTAATTAGATTCAGTCATTGCCTTCCCACCCTTTAATCACATGCAGAACCCGTGCAATGAATATGTGTTAGTAATTAAAGGGATGAGTTGGCAAACATGCCACTATAGGAAGCTTTTTGCCCCGGAGCTGCTGAATGGTTATGTGAATATCCTGTTCTCTATTCACAGTGATCAGTGACCCTAGTTCAAGTGCATCTTAGTAGCAGTCTTTTCTGTTATATTTTCTAATGTCACAGCTCAGCCAAATGTACAAATTCCTATAGTAGGATTGCTGGACCACGTGTTTGCGCTGGTGTATGAAGTCTGGTCCTGAACCTTTTCGGAGGCAGGTCTCTGTCTGCACCATTTATAGGGTATTAGAAAGTTGAGAGCGCCACACCAACTGGTGTGACATTACTCCGACCTAGGCACTTCTACAGGTCGTGAGGGAGCTGTATGCCATGCACATTTGAAAAGAGCTCCCTCACGGCCATAGCCTCATTCCATCAAGCTGACACTCGGTGCCGGGCAGCATATTTTGAATGGCTGCTTGGCGAGAAAACTGACAGTACTGCGCTAGGGGGAGGCATAGGAAACTCTCACCTAAAAAAGTGGAAAGCATGTGGCGACCCACTGAACATGGGGTCGCGACCCACTTTAGGGTCATGACCCACCAGTTGAGAATCAAGGTTTTTGATAATGCAATCAAAGCTTACTTGAAAAATGCCTTTTATGTAGTGAGCACTGCTTTCCATCTGCCCATCACTTTCACCAACCTTCTGGATTCCCAGTGTGCTTTGCGTCGCTTTCCTTGCTGTTTGATGTGATAAATCCCCGATTTTCTCAAGACTACATAGCCCATCATGCATTGCTTCCAGCAAGCAATGATAATGTTACTTTGTTCAGATGTTGAGTTGTAGTTCAAAGGCAGGCTCTGTGAGAGCTGTGAGACAGAGAAGTACATATTCACAGGGCTGAGTGAAACTGTGTCATGCATTGAGTAGGTACATCCCATGGGGATTATCAATAAGTACGTTTACAAACTTCTAGATGGATATGGTGATTGGGAGTGGGAAAGAACCTATGGAAATTCAATATAGAAATACAGATTTATTTTTAGTTTTTGACCATAGATACCCTTTAAATTAGCCTCTCAACCAGGCATCCATGGAAGTCTAGGGCTTCTCTCAAGGTTGCAAGGGATTCCTTGATGAGTGACGGATTGCTCTCCTTTCTGACAACACATGCATTGTTCCGGCACCAACATCACTTCTCTCTTCTCAGGTAACTCACTGATACCAATGATCTTTACAGCTGCTTGTAAGAAGGCCTCTCTCCCTTTGACTACCAATCTGAAGGGGCCCCTCTCTCACTGACCTTTTTTTTACTGTCCAATTTTCTTTTTTGGTCATTATTTTTTGTTTTATTCAAATAGTTTTGGTATGGAGCAAGGATTTTTTGGGTGTATTTGACACTCACTTTGGGTGTCAAGTACACCAAATACTTTATTCTTTGATTTAATAATTTACGTACAACTTACTCATTATGCTAATGGGTAGTGGTAGTGCTTAAGGTGGACTTATGGCCTTCTCAGTGGTTGCAGGTACTGTGGCCACATGGGCTCCATCTTCTCCCTGAAGATTCAGGTGCAGAAAAGCCACCGCTATGACAAACCCTTATTTTTTTCTCTCATTTAATGTCATTCCACAGTGAGCAATGTGTAACACATGACCCTGCTCCTCCACCCAGAAGGAGCTTAAAGCA